GTGAGGGTATTGTGAGTGGTTGCCAGGGTGTTGCTATATGGTTGCTAAGGTGGTATTTTTTGTGTTTCTATGCAGTTGCTAGGATGTTTTGGATGTCACAAGAGCCCATCCATTCTCTATAATATTTTGCCTTCAGTCTGCAACCCATTTTACATTATTTAAATTAATTTAACCCATTTTAAATGATGCAGCTTTTTTAAGATGCCTGATATTAAAATAATAATAATAATAATAACAACATACATTTTTTAATCTATAAACAGCACACACCATTTAAAAAATGCATAATTTGAAATATGATTTATGTAAAACCTAAATGTCAAAGTTTAATACTTAATAATTTCATTTCATTTCATTTCATTTCATTTCATTTAATAGAGCACCCATTTCATTATTTAAAACCCATTTTTATATAATAATATTATTTATTACACACCTTTTTCTGTAATAGCACTGCATAATTTGAAATACAATTTACGTACAAGCGACATGCCAAAGTATAATACTTATGGTTAAGGTTTTGTTCAAATCCTTAGCCTTAAAGAGCAAGCATCAATAATCAGACAACAAAACGGCGATAAATAGGACTATAGTTAGTTCTCACTATAAAGCCGTTAACAGATCGCTGTGACACAAATCACTTTCTTAAGGAATATTTAAAACCCATCAGCTCAGTAAACCAGAACTGTTCAGTCTGACTATAAAAGACTTGCTTCACAAAAAAGCTCCCTTTTGAGTTCATAACACACATATGCAAAAGTTAACAGAAGCTAATACTGTATTCACTAAAGCCCTGGACAATAACTTTAGCATTCTCTTACAACTTCAGTTACAATCACTTCAGTTCTGGAATGTGAATGGCATGAATGAATGTCCCTCCAGATCTGGATTTTAATCTAAATTCACATGTTCCGACACGTCCCTCACTCAGTTTGATTATTGTAATTGGAGTCTTTGCCTCCTACCTACTCCAGTTTGTGGGTAATTCCTGTTTAATATGAATAAATAAATAAATTACACTGCCAACAAACATTCCAAATTCCCCCGAGGGATACATTTTGAATATTATAAGGGAATTAGTTTCAGCAAATGGCACAGTATATCGGTCTGATTTGAAATGGAAATCATTTTTGGGCCACGGATGCTTGTTTTCACGCTGATTAATTGATTCGGCGATGGGCAGGGTGTTGGTTTAACGCGGCTGAACATGTTTGTAATGTTAAAGACGAAGTGCCGGGCCAAGAGCCGACTCTCACGAGCGGAGTTCATGCAGAACAGAGAGATTTATCAGCAGTCAGGGTCAAAACCAGCACACTTCTTCCTGTGTCTGCACATTTGTTTTCCACCCACACCTAAACTGAAATATTCATCCAGGATTTAACTGCATCTCATTAATGAAGCGTGGAAGAATGAGAGAATGTGTGAGAGGGAAAGACAAAAGTTTACCAGATCAACAAGTATGACCCATCATAAAAGGTAATGCATGTAAAGTGTTCAAGGATAAAATACTTCGGGTTTCATTCACTAATAATTGCATTAATGGATTCTGCCTACCAAAGAATCACAACAGGTGTGTTTTACCATTCCGTCATAAACTGAATGTACAGTATGTCTAGCCTTCACAGCCTCATTTTCATTCTCATCAAATTAAATAAATAAAAATACATAATTAAAAAAAACTTGAATTTATTTTATTTTGATGTAGTTGACAAAGAAACCTTTCTCATTTTAATTTAGTTCAATAAAAATTAAAAAATTTAAAATAATAAAAATAACAAAAAATATATAGACATATTTTTAAAATCTTTTAGAATTTTTTTGTAACAATATACACTACCTTTCAAAAGTTTGGGGTAAGTAATTGTTTTTTTCTTTTTCTTTTTTTAAAGAAATTAATACTTTTATTCAGCAAGTATGTGTTAAACTGATAAAAAGGGATAGTAAAGACTTTTTTATTTTGAATAAATCCTGTTCTTTTTAACTTTTTATTCATCAAGGAATACTGAAAAAAGTATCACCGTTTCAAAAAAATATTAAGAAGCACAACAGTTTCCAGCACTGATAATAAATCGATATTAGAGATGTGTAGAATCCACATAAGCTTGTTTTTCATCAACCGGTCAAAATTTATAGCAGGGCATGTAAATTCTGTCCGTGAAGACAGTCAGAACCTTCAGAGGTACATTTATATATTCATTTGTATAATTCCCTTAGCACTCTTTTAAAACCTCCCAGCTTTTTCGCCCTGTTTTCAGTCAAAACTAAACTACTCCGCGTGCTGTGCGCATGTGAGACTGTTACTTAAAACTGTGCTTTATGCTGGACAGTATTTATTTATCGCGAGTTGTTAAAATCGCAGTAATCTAATACGGTTTTAATGATAATTAAAAGATGAAACGGTAATACTAACCGTGGGGAATTTTATCATGATTTATCATCAAAACGGTAATCGTTACATCCCTAATAGAAAAGCTATATTAAATTGTAATAATATTTCACAATATTACAGTTTTTACTTTATTTTCTGATAAGAAAAAAATGCAGCCTTGATGAGCATAAGAGACTTTTAAAAAAACATTAAAAAGCGTACTGATCCTAAACTTTTGAATGGCAGTGTATAAGACTGTTCTAATCAAACAGTAAACTTAATCTCTTTAGCTAGTGACTGTGGCGTTTCCTTGAGGTGTGTTATGTGGAGCAGCGGTTCAGGTCTTGTATCTGGGTCAGACCCGTATCAGCCTGTTGCCACCTGCAGGTCTACATGACATAATCTAGAGCAGAGATGCTGAGAATGATGATTACTGAATAAGAGACATATTCACATTATGGCAACAAGATTCATATGCGAGTCCCGGTGCATTTCCTTTCCATCACATCCATACTGATGTTTCTTTACCTCATATGTCTGACAGAAAATGTCACAACTCAATCCATCAACTCAGTTCTGACATGCTTTTCAATCTTCAGTCTCTATTCAATAAATTACTTGCATGAGATACAGACTGATAAATCGCTCATTAAATTCCATAGATTTTACCACAAGAAATCAAGAAATTCTCCTTGAGGGATTCTAGAGGTAATGATTTGAGTGCAAAGCAATACATTGGACCCAAAAGAGTTTTTCCCAAATAATTCTGATAATATTTTAACAATGCAACAAAATCTGAGCTCATATGTCACAGTTTTTCCATCTAATGCAATACTTTCATACAGTTTCAATGTCTAAATACTTTCCGCAGTCATTCTACAACAAATTCAATTATTTCACTGCAGGTTAATTGTTGCAGCACTTTGTTAAAAACAGCAAAAGCAACTTTACAGAGTCAAAGATAAACAGTGGAAAAAGGGAAAACTCCTTGAAAACAGTGAAGAAAACAAACCAATGTACGGGAGAACAATTCTCCTCTGGTCGGCTGTAGCGAATCAGCTCATGGGGAAATATGAATAATTAATCACAACTAGTTATAATTAATTATAAATATTTAGATCTTTATATTTAGAATATTTAGAAGGAGAGAAATAAGGAATGGTTCCATAACTTCATTCCTTATTTCTCTCCTTTTTATTTCCCTTAACCAGGAAATTAACGTTCTTAGAATTGACAGACAGTTGACCCTGAGAGGTCAAGTAAATATCTACAGCGGATCTAAATATTTATAATTAATTATAACTAGTTATGATTAATTATTCATATTTCCCCATGAGCTGATTCGCTACAGGCTAATATAAAGTCCCTCCAGGACTTTTTACAAATGCAGAATTTAACACAAAATCAGGCAAACTCTGCATTATTTGTGGCACTGTGCATTTTTGTCTTATTTTCACATTTATTTCTGGAAAAAAAAAAAAGGTAATTGTATTGTAGCCTTACTGTCACTAACATGAATTACACAAGTACATCAGGATTTTCACTGCAAAACAACACAAAAATGCAGCAAATACAGCCACATTTTTTTTGTTAAATAACAGCAAATTCAGTCATTAAAGCTGCAAATATCAGGAAAAAACTCCAATGAAATGCTAGTGGAACTGAATATACTGTTCATCACATACTCTATTAGTAGCACAAACACACTTTTGTGTAGGTAAAAGAAATAGTGACTTTTCCAGGAAAACACAATTTAATAACTGATATTTCCAGGATTTCAATGACTGTGGGATCTAAACAATATGTTAAAGTATGATCGCCAACAAAAGTACTTGCAAATCGAGGTCAACAAATGCAAAAGTGCATCTCAATTCGAGCATCTGTGCGTGTTTTACACAACCCGAGATTTGCCCTGCTGTGGTGTTTAGTGTTGGATTAGAAATGCTCATCAGATCCACATTTGGGTCTCTGATGCTTTATAAGAGAAAGATGGCTGCTGGCTGTCTCTCATATAAAACAGGTGTTTGTGTTCACATGCAACAGGCATTTGTTTGTCCCGGGCCAGACGCACAACCCCTTCTGTGTTTACATGCAATCCTGAAGAGAAGATGACCATGTTCACCCTGAAACGCATCTTTCACTCAACGTGTTCACAATTACAGTACAGAGTGATGGTCGGTAAACAAGCAAATAAAATCTACTCTCACAGGAATCCAAACAAGCGATCTCACTGACACATCTGTAAATAAACTAGTACGTTAGCATGCACCTCAGGCGTCCACGAAGAAAACGGCAGAAAATTATGGAACGGGCCTTTTTGGAGGCAAACTGTCAGGAATGAAGTGATTCTGGATCTGGTTCGATTCCACTGAATCTTTTAGGACTATTTTCTGAAACTTAAAATAAAATTCAACCTTGAACAAGAATGGCTTAATTTAGCTTCTACGAACAACTTGTTCCGTTTGGAGGAGAAAAGACAAAAAAATAGCAGCATGGGTTTACAGCAGGTGATGTGAGGATGGGACGATAACTGAGCGGTGCTCGACGTGGCATGCTGACACCATTCACAATGCTGCGTGAGATCTGACAGCCCCCTGCCGACTGCCGGAGATGAGAATGAAAGGACACTTACTCTGGCGAGGAGGCTGATGGGGTCGAGGCCAGGCGGAAGCTGAGACAGATCGCCGTTCTCCTCACCAAGATAAACCTGCAGCGTCGTGCAGAGGTGCCCCAGGCCCTCTTTCTTCTCCTCGCTCATGTCTGCTAGATCTACACACACAGAACACAGCGCTTTCAACATTTGACAACTTTTTGTTTTGTTTTTGCTTCTCTTTCAAAAAAGCATTATGCTATACTAAAAGCATAGAGTTATAATGATATTATAATGATATATAATGATTAAATCATAGTATTACCATAGTACGTGACCAAAATATAGTATTAACATGATATAACATGAAATATATAGTTCAGTCATGAAACTCTAGATGGCGCAGGCTGACGGGTTGTTAACGTAACTGATGATATTCAGAGAGTTAAACGACTTGGCACAAGCTGATTGGTTCATGCTGCATATGCAGCCAATGAGCTTACTGCCTAGCATTTATATGGCTGGCTGGCATTCACTAGAGATTCCTGCAGCACGCTTTCAGAGTTTCTCTGAAACCCCCCACCTTCCCCAGCTCCACCTAGATCTGCTGGCTAGGGGTTATTTTATATGCTATTTGTGCAGCAGCAGTATGTCTTAAATACTCACGGCACCGTATCGCCGTATGCATTGGCAGTAGCAAGTTCCTGTACTTGCTTGCAGCAGCAGCAATAATCTACAACTACAGCAATAACCAACAGCAGCAGCGTAGCAGATCTATTCCGCCAAGACCAAACACATTAACATTGTCATATCCATAACCATGCTAAAATCTTCAGAGAGTTGTCATGATTGAAATAGTATTAACATGATATATGTATAAAAAACAATACAAACAAGGTACTATTACACATTCAAACAAACATTTTACCATCTATAAAACATAGCATGACCCAGGTAAATGCCCAAAAATGTGGCATTACTGTGATACATATCTGAAAAAACAGGGTATTACCATGGTACTTGACTAAAAACATAGTATTCAAAGTCATAGTCATTGTAGTGATACAGTATACAGTATGTCTAAAAACAGTACTGACATGGTACATATCTAAAAAACAAACAGACATGGTATTATCTCATGTTCAAAAACATGGTATTATATTTGTAAATGTTCAAAAACATGGTATTATATTTGTAAATGTTCAAAAACATGGTACTACACACTCAGAAAACACTGTATTCCTGGGTTTGAAGTGTGTCGGAATCAGTGTTATCATTGTTAATTAAATCAAACTACTAAAAACCATTCATTCTGAATCATTAACTGAAATAAAGCAGTTAAAGATGAAGTACTAAAATTACTAAAACTAATATATATGTAATAATCACAGATATACATAGATATATCACATATATTTATATAAATCACAGAGAAAGGGTTAATCGCGATTAATCGCACACTTTATGAAATTAAGCATACACCATTTATCTTGTTTAACACATTAAGATGTTCTGTTCAGTTTGTATTTCACACAGCGCGACGCGTGAGGGCTCGCGCTCTTCAGAGACAATCACAGGAGATGACAGAGCCCGTGTTTTAAAGCGAAACACCCTGGAATGAATAAATGCAGCATCGAGACGTTAAGCCAGGTTTGATGTGTTTAGCTGGGTTTCCATACATCTATTTTTATGCATTTTTTGGCATATCACATAAAAATGCTGAATGGAAAATTTATATGCAAATAGAGCTTCCCAAAAGAACATAAAACAAATATAAGTCTGTTTGAGGTGGATACATTTTTTATTCAAAAGTTTAAGTTTTTTTTTTTTTAATTAGGTATTAATTAAGTATTAATAAATTAATACTTTTATCCAGCACGGATAGATTTAATTGATCAAAAGTGACAATATAGACTTATAAATGTTTTCTATTTCAAAAGATTTCTATTTCAAATAAATGCAGTTCTTTTAATTCTTGTCATTTCTTTTCATCAAAGAATCCAAAGAACGTGCAATGAAAACGCAAATTCATAATTTAAATGGGAACATACAATAAGTAATGATTTAATGTCTCATTAATGTCTCACGACCACTTATAATAGACGTAAAAACCTATTTGGTCAATTTTTGGATGAATGATTCCTTTCATTTCTACAAGTCTGCATGTCTCATTTGCTACCGTTAAACTGTAAAATACAGCATAAAAGGATTAAAATCTATATCAGCCACTGAAAAAAAAAACACTGGTCGGCCACCAGCTCAAATCACTCAGACACATGAAGGAAAGCGACCAAGTCAAATGTTCTTCTGTTTGTCTAAAGGAACAGGTCTACATATGAATCTCGACGTAAATCAGCACAGCCGCAAAAATGAGGAGCTGATGGATTTCCTGAAATAATACATGAGCTGATGAGACCTTGATTTTGAGGTGAGAGCGAGTGGCGTCTCATAAGGCCGTTAGTGTGATGAGAAAGCACAAGTTCAGATAGGGTGCTGACTGCTTCCATAAGGACCATCAGCAGGATTACCTCTTTAATGGCTGCACATTACTTATGACTGAATAGAAAAGAGTGGGGCCAAAAAGAAGTCCAAGGCTCTTTGTGACAAAATAGGCAATTACTTTTGAAAAGCCGGGGGCCACGGGGCAGGTTTTACAGAGGGTCCGACCCAAGAAAGAAAGGAAAATTCATAATGGTACAATAAACTCCTGCCAGGATCTGACATTTATTCACCTTCCATCATAGGAAATCTAATTTTTCAACCTCACAGGATAAGTTAGTGCTTTTTACTGCCATCCATTAACAAACCATTTATTCCGTATATCATTTTTTTTTTTTTAAAGGAAAAAAGTCAGGTTTTTGAAACGACAATGGACATTTTCCATTTCTGTGATGCCTGAAAGACAACTTTCAAAAGTGGGGGTTTGGACAATATCGGCATAAATCCTTATAATTTCTTGGTATTATTAAATTGAAGTAACATGAAATTACCAGTGCAGATCAGAAATTATTTTGGAGTATGAAAGTCAGGAGTGATGCCTGATTAGTGGATTAAATTTGGCTCAGGTTTCTTTTTTTAAAGATTTTATTGGGTCTTATTTAGCACCTTTATAGCTTTACAAATCAAGGTTAGTACACAACAGACCAACACTTTAAAAAAATCACTTGCTTTCACAAACAATTAAATTAAACGTGAAATTTTGAAGTACTAAGACTAACATAGTATTGTCTTGTAAAATATATTCCAACAATCTTTGTTTTATTTACAACTTACAAAATATTATATA